TGGATGGATAAATAGGTGGGTGGGCGGGTGGATGAGTAGATGGATGGATGGAGCAACTGGGTGAACAAATGAGGGGAGAATGACTGAGGTAGTAGAAGGGTGAAGAAATGGAAGAGATAACAAGAAGGAAGGAAGAAATGAAGGGAGGGAGGGTAGGAGAGTGAGTGGATGGATAGAAAGATGAACGGAAAAACAGATGGACGGATAAAAGGAACAGAGAGCAGGAAGGAGAGGGAGGGATGGGAATAGGGTGAGGGACAGACGGGCGTTCAGTGGTGGGGGGTGGCTGGATGGGTGGGTGGTGAGGAGAGGAAGAGTCGCCTCCTCCAGGCCCCACGCCACTCGTGCGAATGCCCGGGGATGGCTCACACCAGCGCTTCCTTGTTTCCCCTCACTGGCACAGGACACCTTCTCCCGACAGTGGAGACCAGAGCGGTGGAGGAAGCACAGGCACTCCCGGGCCAGGGCCAGGAGAGGCCGAGGCAGGACGAGGCCCTCCCCCAGCTTCCCCAGGGGAGCCCCTGCATCCCCCACGTCCACCCGGAGGCCCGAGAATGCTCAGCAGGAAGTCCTACTCCTCTTCCGCTTGCGCCTCCTCTTGCTCTTCTTGCCCAGGGCCGCGGAGCACTCCGAGCGCACGGAGGCACTGTGGATGCTGGCGCTGTCGAAGTCCGACTCCTCCCGCTCGTCCTCCTCGCTCTGCGGGGGAGCGAGGGGCTTGTAAGCCCAGGGTCCGCCATGGGGACCCACCCCGGGGGGCCTCACGTACCTGGGCCGTGTGGGCTGGGACAGGGCACAGAAAAGGCTCCAGAGAGGGTGCTCCTTGTGGTGCGTCCTGTCCCCACCAGGAGGGAAGCCTCACACTGCAGCCCTACCCACCTGTCCCACCTGCTGTCCACCACCCTCCTCCAGCCCTCAGACACTTCCCACAGTTTCCACTTCCCTGTGGCACCCTAGACCCCATCCTCTCACCTGCCAGATTCCTCCACATCCCTCAAGGGGCAGCCCTAAGGACACCTCCCCCAGGGAGTCCTCCCAGCTGTCCCCTTCACTGGACCTGTGGCACAGCCTGTGGGCCAGGTCTGGCCTGTCCTGGCTGCCTAGCCCATCGTTGCCTTTCTGCCAGTGAACATGCCTGCCAGGTTATGAGCGCTGCAGGAGCAGGGCCCACCGTGGCTGAGCAGTGGGCCGGGCACATAGTAGCTGCTCAACAAATATCTGCTGAGCTGAGCAGGACCACCAGCTCCAGGCCACACCACACCTGCTCCATGCTTCCCTCCAGACCGAGCACTCGCCTCTGCCAAGGGGCAGAGAAATGGCTTCAGTCTCTACCCCGCTGCAGGACTGGGGTGAAGCAAGGGAAGTGTAGCTGCCTGGGGTGGGGTAAGGAGAATGAATGTCCCCCCCCACACACAGAGGAGGACTACAGGGCTGAGACACGGGTTTAGGGTCTGAGCCTAGGTTCACAGCTGGCCCTGGGGGCAGGGGGAGGTCATCAGGGCTCCAGCCTGCCTGACCGTGCCCACACACCAGCGGCCCCAGACTGCCAGGTCCCCCAAGGACTCTGAAGGGCCCGGATGGAGCCCAACTGGGGACAGTGAGAGCCAGGACTGAGCTCCCAGCTCGGGAAGGTGGGCAGGAGAGAGCTCCCTGCTCAGCGTCCAGGCTAGAAGCACCCGTGGAGGGGTTTAGCCCTGGCCACACAGAGGGGGAGACGGAAGCTTGGCAGGCCTGCCTATAGAAGTAGGGGTGCAGGGCCTGCCCTACCACACGCACATGCAGGCACACGCAGGCACATGCACACAGGCACACGCACACACATGCTCACACATGCAGGCACACACAAACATGCAGGCACATGTGTGTGCATGCAGGCACGCTCGCACACGCGCTCTGCTCACCGAGGAGCCCTTCTTCCTCTTGCTGCTGAGCCCTCCGAAGCGGAACTTGAGCCCGGCTGTCTTCTTCCCTTTACCCTTCTTCTTCGCGTCTTTGGAGCCTTTGATCTTCTTTCTCACCCCAGGCCCTGCGAACCAGTGACGGTCAACAACCACCGCCACCGCCCGCTGGCGTCCCACCGTCACCCCACTGAGCCAGAAACCGCCTTTCCTACCATCACCCCTTCTCAGATGAGGGGTCTGAGGCCTCAGGGATGAAGCCCTTGCTTTAAAATCCCACAGCAAATGGGGGGGCAGAGAACGACCTCCCCAGTGTCCATCTGCTCGGGTGCTGTGCTGCCCGGCCCTCTCGGGAGGATCCCTTACAGTGTCCCCACCTCCCAGAGAGGAGTTGCCCCCAGTAGAGCCACCTGGGGCCGGAAGCCCCCGTCCCACCTGCCTCCCAGGCCCAAGCAGCACTGGCACAACAGAGGCCACCCCAACTCTGCCAGTCCCCCTGGGAAAGGCCAGCCGAGTCACAGAGTCAGCAGGAAGGCAGTTAGCCACCTGGGGGTTCAGGACCCCCCAGCAGCCCCTCCCGCTGCCAGGCTGAGAAGGCAGGGAGCTGGAGGCAGGGAGTCACACCCTGGGAGGCAGCCTCACCCAGACCCTCCTCTGGCCACACCACACGCAGGGACACGGAACCGCGAGCCCAGCTGAACCCTCCATGGCGCCACAGAAAATCTATTCAATTTTCCAACCTCTGAACAGGCAGCTCAGGGAATCGATAGCTCTGCGGTTGGGGCCCAGAAGGAAATGAGGAAGCAAGGGGGGCTGGGCCGGGCCTGGAGCCCCTCCTGAGATCCTGGTGTCCAGGATGGAACAGGACAGGGGACAAGCTCGAACCCACATCACTCTGCTCACCAGGCCCCCTTCAGAGACCTGGCAAAGCAGCACCATGCACGGCACCAGCATCAGCCTGAAACCAAAGCTCCTTGGGGTAAAACAAAAGGCTCCCAGAGCTCCTCTGAGCCCCCATCAAAATCCCACATCAGTCAGGTGTGGTGACTCACGCCTGTAATCTCAGCACTTTGGGGGGCAGAGGCAAGAGGATTACCTGAGCTCAAGGGTTCAAGACCAGCTTGAGCAATAAATTAAAAAATTGGCCAGGTGTGGTGGCGCATACCTGTGATTCCAGCTACTTGGAAGGCTGAGGCGCAAGGATCACCTGAGCCCAGCAGGTCCAGGCTGCGGTGGCCATGAGTGTGCCACTGCACTCCAGCCTGGGCAACAGAGTGAGACTCCAACTCAAAAAAAAAAAAAATAGGCCACATCGGGGCACCCAGGAAGACTGACCTGATGGTGATCTCACTACTGACGGCCTTGGGGAGAGCAATGTCATCAACCCCCAAGAAGCCAGACGACTCCTCCCAGGGAGCTCCCTCCCAGGGCCTTCAAGCCTCAGAGGGCTTCTGCTGCCCCTACTCTCCCCATCCAGCGCCCCCTCCACTGGGTCAGATTGTGGCTCTCAACCTCCTTCCAGGCCTGGCCCAGAGCAGCCTCCCTGGGAAGCCAGCCCTGAGCACGCCCACTCCCTCACTCCCTACTCCAAACTCTGGCATGTTCCTGCATCCTAAAGCTGGATGCTGGACCCTCCACGCCAGACCAGGACCCTCCATGCCAGACCAGGCAAGACACAAAACCGGACTCTCCATGCCAGGCCAGGGCTTGGAGAAGGACCCTGCACACAGCGGGTACTCAGATGGGATCAACCGACTAAACCGGGCCTCCTCCCCAGGCATGGTGCAGCCTCAGACTCAAGAGTCTACCAACTAGGCAGGGTGCGGTGGCTCACACTAGTAATCCCAGCACTTTGAGAAGCGGAGACAAGAGGATTGCTTAAGCTCAGGAAGTTGAGACCAGCCTGAGCAATATAGCGAGAAACTCACCTCTACAAACATTTTAAAAATTAGCCAGGTGAGGTGGCGCAAGCCTATAGTCCCAGCTATGTAGGAGGCTGAGGCAAGAGGATCGCTTAAGCCGAGGAGGTTGCGGCTTTGGTGAGCCGTGAGCATGCCACTTTGAGACCTCGACTCAAAGAAAAAAGAAGAGCCTACCAACTCCCAGAAGCCTAGGGCTGGGGAGGCTCCATGCTACGGGTTTAACCTCTCTCCTCCTCACTCCCAGGTGGAGGGGGCCTCCCTGGGCTGCCTGCAATAAAGCGCCGCCTCCCGAGGCGCCGCCCCCATCATCTCTCAAGGCAGGCAGGGCGGAAGCTACAGCGCTCCATCACTGCTGAGAAAGAGACTATCAGGTCCCATGCCACAAGTCTCCGGAAAGGAGCATCCAGCTGCCCCCACAGCCAGGTCTGCCTCGTGGCTTCTCCTGTGGGGCCAGAACTCGGGGACCACACCCCCCAGCCTTACCCTTGCCCTCCTTGGTCTTGGCCTTGCGGATGGGCACGGGCTGGGGTGCCTGCGGGGGGCTGACGGCCAGCGGAGGGGCGATGGTGACTGTCTCCACCGCCGCCGCCACCGCTGCCGCCGCCGCAGCCGCCGAGCTGCCCTTAAACGGGTTGTTGGCACTGAACTCCCGCCACTTGGCGCCCAGGACAGTCATCATTTTGGACATGGGGATCTTGGGGTTCTTCTTGGCGATGAGTGGCCTGTGGGGAGACGGGCGGGAGGGTGAGGGCGCAAAACATTCACCGGACCCGCCTCTTCTCCCCCAGTGCTTTTGACCTATGGCTACGGGCCCAGGTTCCTGATGAAAGAACCCAGGCGGAGTGGAACAAAGCTGACCACAGCCCACCCCAAAACACAGCACTTCCCTGCTCATGCAGATGGCGGTTTTCTGGTTGGGTTTCCAGGCCCTGCAGGACCTGAGGGGCCGCAGCCAGCCTTGGGGTCTCTGTCCCACCCACCTCCACCAGACCTGAGGCCTGGTGGCTACAGACCCCTGGAAAGACTGTAAGGGAAGGCACCCAGAGGGCCCAGGGCAGGGCCGCAAGGAAGGCCCTACCACCTGTTCACATGAAAGGGGTCCCACCTTTCCCACCAGCTCTGCTCCGGTCAGCAAGTCAGTCTGACAGTGCCCACCCCACCCCAGGAGCCCAGGCCCCTGTTCCTCGGACCCACTCCCCAGCTCCAAGCCCACCTGAGGAACTGGCTGAAGGCCTTGTAGTTGGTCAGCGTGTGGTAGTCCTCCTCCGAGAACAGGTAGTCTACATCGTCCAGGCCCCACTCAGCCATGAGCTGCCCCGAGGACTTGGGCTCCTGCGGAGACATGGGCCAGGGGGAGACTCGGGGGCCCAACTAACCTGCACCCCGCCCCCAGGGTCTCTTCCCAGAAGGCCTGGGCATAGCGGGGAGGGGTTGTGTCTGCAACTTAACCAGAGCAGTTCTCACCCACCCCCAAACACATCCCAAAGCAATCCCTAGCCCTGGCCAGTGGAATGTCTCCAATGGCAGCTCATGGGGATGCCAGGTCAAGGGCTTAATGTCAGGGTTTGCAGAAAGGTCCTGTGTGTGCCCAGAGCCTCCAGAAAGGGAAACCAGCAAGCCGTGGGGAAAAGGCTGAACCCCTAAGCCCAAAGCCCCGTCCTGAGAATGAGCTGCCAGACTGGTCTCAGGACCTCAGGGCAGGAATAAGCAGATTCACTCTCTGAGAGAAATATAAGAATCAGGGCAGCAGGACAACACTGTGACCTGAAGACCAGGCCGGTGTCAGAGAGGAGACATCCCTGGAGAGAGAGCAGGGCTATGGGCTGCCTAAGGCATAGTGGAGAGACAGGAGGGCTCCCTAGGGCGGCCCCGGTGCAGATGTGCATGGCCCCATGAAGGACAGGCCACTGCTGGGTCCTGGGGACAGGAAGGTGTGCCCTATTGGGGCAAGGATATGGAACAATGGCCCGGTTAGGGGCAGAGGCCCATGAGGGTCCCCCGACTACCGCCAAGGCCCAGGGGAGGGAGGGACATGCCAGCGGTGCACCCCGAGCTCTCAAGGGCCCCAGCCCAGGGGTCAGATGTCCAGATGACCTTCAGACAGGAAGGTGCAAGCATGGGCTTGGGCTGGTTCTAATCCTGGCTATGCCATATACTAGCAGTGAGAGGTGGTCAAGTTACTCAACCTCTCTGCCTCAGTTTTTCCATCTGTAAAATGGGGCTAATAGCAGTGCCTGCGCTGCAGAAGAGAATGAGTTAGCACAGGTGCTTGGAACGGGGCGTGTCAATGTGTTAGTGACTGTTAGCACCCAGCCCACCCTGCCTTCCTCCTTCTCCCACACACCACTTCTTCCAGGAGCCCTGAGCTGCCCCCACCCCACCCATTGATCCATTGAGCCAATCAGTACACGCTGCTTCTAGGCCAGGTGGGTCATGTGACTTAAGCCAGGCCAGTTAGGGAGAACACTGGGTCTCCTGCTTGGACATCTGGACAAGGGAGGCTTGCTCCCCCTCCTGCTGAATGGGACCCAGAAGCCCCGAGCTCCTGCTGTACCTATTCTCAGCCACGAGGGCGCCCGGCCCGAGCAGCAGAGGCAGAGTAAACAGAAACAGCTGTAGGTGACACCCCTGGGTCCCACATCCCTTCAGTTCTCAGGGCTCTGACCCCACAAGTCCCTTTACTGCCTAAGCCCCTTGGAGCTGGATTTCAGCTCTGCGGCAGAAAGTCACCCGAGTGCCGCCCAGAGCTGAGACCCAGTCGGTCTGCCCAGGCAGTGGGAGGGCTTCAGACCTCAGTTCTTGCCTCCTGTCCCGAGACAGTTCAGAGAAGCCCCCACATGGGTCCCCGCCCGTGGCTACCCTGCCCCGCGGACACACATAGCCATCCGGGGAGGCACGCGGCCCCCTTATCAGCAGCCAGGAGCGGATGACAGCGTTCCGGGTAAGAATGAATCAGTCCCTCGGGCTCGTCTTTCAGAACCGTGAGACCCTCTGCTAGCATCCGTCACAGATGAGTGACAAAATATCACTGACTCCCGATACCACCCTGGGCACCAGGACACCACCGGTGACAGCTGCTCCTCCCGCTCCTCCCAACTCCAGTCCTCACGTCCCCACTTCCACCTTGCCCAGCAGTGCCTGTACTAATATTCACGGAGCGCTTGTCTTTACATCCACGGCTGGCCAACCTGAGCCTTGATGTCTCCTCAAAGAACAAAGGGAGCAAAGCACCCCCACGTGACAACACCAGCCCACCACCCGAGAGCTGAGTCCCAGAAGCCCCTCCACCAGCCTTCCCCCGGCCCCCTCCCCTCCCCGAGGAGCTCACGGTGCAGCCTCAGAGCCTCTAGGGGTCTCCCATATTCCCGGGGATGATGCTTCTCCTCAGGGAGAGCTGAGCCAGCCCACCTCCGCAGCTACCGCACTCTGTGTTCCGAGGACACCCAAACAGAATTCTAGAACACGTACTGGGCGATAAAGTTCCCTCTCCCACGTACGCGGAGCTGTCCAGCGTGTCTTGTGGCAAAGACCCCACTTGTTGCTTTATGTTCCCAAATTGCTCCAAGCAAGAGGTTCCTGACACTAGACTTGAACTCACACCATCTATCACTCTCCCCAGAAACAGCTGTGCACTCGTGCGGGCAGACCGTGGCCCAGGGCAGCTGATCCATCAGCGAGACACTCTGCGACTTCCTCCACCAATTCCTAAATTCTGCCCATCATTCCCGTGCGTACACACATGTGCACGAACGCACATGAACTCGCACAAGCACTCACATGCCCGAACATCCACACGTGCACGAAAGCACATACACCCACACGTGTACACAAATGCACAGACGTGCACAAGCACACACACCCGCACAAACACACACGTAGCCCAACACGCACACACACTCACACAAGCACAGGCACAGCCTATCTGCCCGTCAGTTGGAGAGCTCGCCCGGGTCCTTCTGACCCCGGGGCTGTGGGTCAGCAGGCTAACCCCTCTAGAAGGTGTCGCTCTGTCCGAGTTCAGATCCCTCGGCAGTTACCTTTAAGCATCCATCGTCATTATCATCCTCCTCTTCGTCCTTCTTCTTTCGCTTGGCTTTCTTCTCCTTCTTGTCCTTGAGTTTCTTCTTCTTCTTCTTATTAGGGGAGTAGTCGCTGCCCTCGCTTTCTGACTTCTCTTCCAGGTCCTCTTCGTTTTCTGACAGCTCGTCATTGCTCCCCTGGGAAAGAGAGGGGCACGGTCAGGGCAACAGAGGCCCCGGGACACCCAGAGTCCTGGGCGGCAGGATGCCCTGACGGCAACTTCCTGGCCCACCCTCGGGGTCAGTCACCCATTCCTCATCAGGTCCCCATCACTCACAGCTCAGCCCCCAAGTCCAGTCACAGGGGCAGCCCCACGCCAGCCTGAGTCACGAGTCTTGTCCCCAGTGACTGTGGTGGTGTGTACAGGTGAGACAGGCTCTCGGGCACCAGACATCCCCACCAGCAATCTAAGCCCAGCTGGCTCCAGCAGCCCGGGGGTGAGCTCAAGCTCCACTTCGGTCTTAAACAAATTTCCATGGACTTTTAAACATTTTTTTTATGTTTTATTTGACCTATGTATTTTTTAATTTCATTTAATTATTATTTATTTTGGAGGCAAGGCTTCTCTGTCACCCAGGTTGGAGTTCAGTGGCATGATCACAGCTCACTGCAGCCTCCACCTTCTGAACTCAAGCGATCTCCCAACTCAGCCTCCCAAGTAGCTTGAACTCCAGATGCATTGGTTAATTTCTTCAATTTTTTTTTTTTTTTTTTTGGTAGAGATAGAGTCTTGTTTTGTTGCCCAGGCTGATCTCAAACTCCTGGTCTCAAACAGTCCTTCCACCTCGGCCTCCCAAAGCACTGGGAGACAGGCATGAGTCACTGCATCCAGCCAACTTTGGGATTTTAACTAGTGTTGCATGATGGAGTTTGGACCCTCATGGTGGTAGACGTGATGCCCAGAGTCAAAAAAACACCGCCTGGCTGGACGTGGTGGCTCAAGCCTGTAATCCCAGCACTTTGGGAGGCCGAGGCAAGAGGTTCGAGACCAGCCTGGGTGCCTTGGTGAGACCTCATCTCTACAATAAATCCAAAAATTAGCCAGGCGTGGTGGCATGCGCCTGTAGTTCCAGCTACTCGAAAGGCTGAGGTCGAGGCTGCAGTGGCTGTGAGTGTGCCAGTGCACTCCAGGCTGGGCAACAGAGTGAGACTCCAATGCAAACAAACAAACAAACCACTGCCCCGGAAAAGCCCCAGCAGGGAAAGAACCGGGGCCTCACTGGGCTCCAGTGCACAGCTCTCTGCTGAGGTCTGTGCCCGCGGAACTGCGATCATCAGGTGAAACCTGTAGTTAATGTGGTGCTCATCTCTGCTTCCTGTGCGTATGGACTCCCCAGAAGCTGCTGTGACACACGCCCTCCTCCCCCACCCCCACCTCAGCCGAGTCCTCTCTGAGACAGAGTAATTTAGGCAGCTCTTAAGCTTGGCTTCCTTGATTTGGTTTCCTGTCTGTACAGGCAGAAAATGGCCCATTTATATGGAGATAAGGGTGTCTTCAGCCAGAGCATCCCACCAGGAAAGTGCTGCCCCTTGAAAAAGCAGTTTATGTGTGGCCTTTGGAGACACAAGTCGACTGGCAAAGTGCTGCCCAGCCCCCTCCTGGGAGGGGCCGTACACTACAGCCACAATCACCGTCATGGGGCCTGTCACCCTCATGACTGCCATTAACTGTTTTCAAGGTGAGCAAAGAGAGGCCTGGAAGAGACGAGGAGGGAAGGAGAGATGAAAAATGAGCCCGGAAGCATCTGTGGGGAGAGGGAGCCTTGGAGGAGGTGGGGGGGGGAGGGAAGAGGAGGGAGAGAAGGAGGGGTGTGGGGGACAGGAGAGGAGAAGGAGACACAGCAGAGGCCACGGGGTCTGTCTGGAGGACCCTGGGGGCCCCCAGCCCACTGCTGCCCTTTCAGTCCTGCTGTAGAGGGATGATGACCCGCTTTTTCCCAGGAGAGAGGCCCCAAGCAGGCACATCACGTCAGCCAGGTGAGGGTGGACAAGGGTGCTGCTGGGGGCTCTCCCTGAGACCCCCAAGCTCCTGCGCCTCCTGGAAACTCAGCAGGCTCCCCTACCCTTCCACTCCCCAGCTCCCAAACCTCTTAGCCCATTAAGACTCCGCCTGGAGTCAGCTCACTGGCAGCTGGCAGGCAGCAGGGTCTCTGTGCTTTTTGCTTTTCCAGAACCCGGGGGCTGGTGGTGAGCTGCCCTGGGGTCGCAGCTCCCAGGCTCTGCCTTGGTCTTTTGGGGAGGTGGAGGTCAGACAGGGAGGTCCCTTTGCTACGAGGGTTTGGTCAGCTCTCAAGAAACCTGAAAAACACGCTCTGCCCCGCCCTCGCCCCAGCAAAGAATAGGAAGAGGAAGCCATAGACTTCAGCACCATGGACAGAGGTCGTGGCATGGGCGACAGAGTCAGACTCCAACTCTTAAAAAAAAAAAAGAAACCAGCCTGTAATCCGCGCCTTTGGGAGGCTGAAGTGAGTGGATTGCCTGAGTCCGCGAGTTCGAGACCCGCCTAGGCAGCAACACCTCATCTCTACAATAAATCAAAAAACCAGCCGGGCATGGTAGCGCAGGCCTGTAATTCCGGCTACTTGGCAGGCTGAGGCGGAAGGATCGCCGGGGCCCAGCAGGTCGAGGCTGCGGTGGCCGGGAGTGGCCATTGCACTCCAGTCTGGGCGACAGAGTGAGACTCCAACTCAAAAAAAAAGAAACCAACCATGTTTCCCATTGAATCTGGATTGGATAAAAAAAATGTGGTACATATACACAATGGGATATTATGTAACCATAAAGAAGGACAAACATATGGACTTTTCAGCAACTCGAATGGATTTAGAGGCGATCATACTCAGTGATCTATCACAGAAACAAAGAACAGAGTACCATATGTTCTCACTCATAAGCAGACTTTGAACAATTATAATACTATAAGAAAGTGACTGGCAGTAGTGGAAAACTGTCAGGGGAGGGGCGGTGGGATTGGCAGTAGAGGGAAACTGCTAGGGGAGGGAGGGGCACACCTCATCAACAAGGGTACCTGCATAATCAATGTTTGTATACCTAACCCTGAACTGTACCCCACATCTTTATAATTTAAAAAAGGAAAAAAAAGAGAGAGAAACCTAAGCACAGAGAAGCAGTGCTCAGAGATGGGGGCAGCACGGGAAGAGCATCCAGGTTGCCAGGGCCCGGCCTCCTCGCCGTGACCAGGCAGGGGACTCGGCCAAGCCAGAGCCAGCTGCCATCAGTACAACCCTTCATCCCCGATACCACCACACCTGTGCCCACACACCATAGGCATCCCTGATTCTGGTAATGCCCAGAAAAATGCCCAGAGGACCCATGATGTCCCCAGTTCTCTTGGATGCCAAAGACACAGGACAGCAAGCTGGAGGAGACATACCAGCCGTGTCCCCGTTTATACAGATGGGACCCAGCTAGAGATGACCACACTGAGGCCGCCTGCAGGTGGACAGCAACACAGTGCATGGAGGCAACAGACCTGAGGCAACAAAGGGCTGCCAGCTGACACCTGCAGAGCACACCCAGCCTCTGGTGGGAAGCAGGCCACAGCCCTAGGGACAGGAGTGGCCAGGACCAGGGGGCAAGGAGGAGGAAAGGAAGGTGCCGCCAGCAGCTCCGCGGTCTGACAAGAGCACATGTGCAGCTGGGGACGCTGGCCTGGCAGGAGGCCGCAAGCCCGGAGACAGCTCAAAGCTGAGTGGGGGAGCAGAGGGCACAGACCCCCAGCGGGAACGGGCCAGGGTGACGTGGGGTGCAGCCCCTGCCTGGGGCTCAGGCAAGACAACCACCGCTCACTTCACGGAGAGGGGTGGGTTTTCTCCCTCCTCTGTCTCCCTGCGCTGGGGAGAGCCCGGTCGAAGACAAAGTTCTGATTCCTCAAGGACCAGACCTGCCTCCCATCCCCTGAGCCTCTCTGCCTGACCCCTGCTTCCACCATGGGGAGCCTGCCTAGCAGGGGAGCTCACCGGAGCCCTTCTCCCCGTCCAGGGCTGGCTGACAGCAGGGGTGCAGGACAAGTGCGTATCACCAGCAAAACCCCGCGTCCGGCTGCATCGACACTGCTAGAACTAGGCATTCATTTTCTGGTTTTTCACAAAATCTTTCCTTGCAGAGAAAGAGGCAAAGGGAAAAGTTGCAAACAGTCCTGAAAACAACTCACAGAGGAGAGCAACGACCCTTCAGTGGGACCTGGAGGGACATAATATCATCCAGTGGCAAGAAGAGAAGAAATGACCAAGAATCAGGCTAGGTGCGATGGCTCACGCCTGTGATCCCAGCACTTTGTGAGGCTGGGGCAAAGAGGATCGCTTGAGCACAGGAGTTCAAGACTAGCCTAGGTAACATAATTAGCGTGTGGTCCCAGCTACTTAGGAGGTCGAAGCTGTGGTGAGCTGTGATCATGCTACTGCATTCCAGTTTGGGTGAAAGAGTGAGACTCTGACTTCAAAAAAATTTTTTGGAGTCAGAATCTCACTCTGTCGCCCGGCTGGAGGGCAGTGGCACACTCATGGCCACCACAGCCTTGACGTGCAGAACTCAGGTGATCCTTCCGCCTCAGCCTTCCAAGTAGCTGGAACCACAGGCCTGCGCCACTACACCTGGCTAGTTTTTTGACGTATATTGTAGAGATGAGGTCTCGCCAAGTTGCCCAGGCTGGTCTCAAACACCTGGGCTCAGGTAATCCTCTTGCCTCCGTCTTCCCAAGTGCTGGGATGACAGGCGTGAGCCACCAAGCCTAGCAAAATACTTTTTAATGATCAAGAACCAGAGGCAGATTTGCCGCTCAAGATCTCAAATCATATGGAGGGGCTTGTAGGTTAAGCCACGCGCAGGGCAGGAGACCCAGGCACAGACAATAATTCCCTAATGAAGCCCCCGCACCAACCTCAGCTCCAAGGTTCGAGAGCAACCAAACCGCACTATGGGCTGTGAAAATCAGGAGGCAGTCAGCCTTTGACCTTGGCACTGACCTTTTGGCTGCAGCAGGACAGCCCTGAGTGTGACGATGGGGGAAGCTCCACCAGCTGGCTGAAGAATCTTAGTGGCAAGACAACGGCCGCTCCCTTCTCCACACGGAACCCACCTGCGAAGCTCCCTTGAACACTGCGCCCAGGCTATGTGTGCCAGGTGGTGGGGTGGGCAGGAGGGGCCTCCGTGCGGAGCCTCAGCCCCCTGAGGGCACAGCATGCCAACCCTGGCCCTGGGGACCCCGAGCAGGGCTGTCCTGCCGCCCTTCCTCCTTCCCAGCTCCACGGATGTTTCTAGATCGAGGCCCCCGCCTCCCTCTCCCTCCCCCCTCCAGGCCTGACGCTCCTGCACATCTCCTGAAAAGGGAGACATTACAACTCAAAAGGAAGGACGCGGCGAGCTGGTCATTCTCCATTTGGGGCCCTTCAAGATTGAGAGGGAAAAAGAAAGAATGAAATATGAGCCTTCCCATTCACGAGTGTTATAAACAGTTATAATTTAGCACTGAATAATTGGTTGCTATGGTAACCGCTGCAGTACAGGTTGAAATCATTTCTCCCTCCTGCGCGCTCGCGAGGGTCTGACAAGGAGCCCCATCTGCATATGCTCAGGTTCCGGGCTACAGCCCGGGTATTTTATGTAAATCAGAATCCACGACTTGCTGCCCGCCGCCGTCCTGTCCCACCCCCTCCAGACTGCTGCCTGGGCCCACCTGCCCTGGCTCCTCTGCCGCCTCAAGCCACCACCGCATCTCAGGGCTGCCAGGTTGGATGTGGGGAGGGGTAAAAGGGTGCCATCTCCCTGCCCGTGCCCTGGGGCCCTGGGTCTGCTGGGTGTGGGCAGGGGGCACGCGGTGGCCAGCATCCTGCCCTCTGGCTGGAGCATGCTCCACCCCCCCACCCCAAGATCTGACAGCTGGTCAGAGCCAGGATGGTGGGAAAGCAGGGGAGGGGCGGCCTCGGGAGGTCTCCTGTCCGCCCCAGCCCCCAGCTCTTCAGAGAGCCCGAACTGCATCTCAGTGGCGAGAGGAAGGAGAGAGGGTGAGGAAGGCGGGGTGGAGGAAATGGAAGAGAG